AGATATTATGTTCGCTAACCCTGCAACTATGTAGACTCCTCCCGCAATTTGACTGCTCGTGCTCCTCGAAATAGGTCCGGTTTGACCAGCCACCGAAAAGGATTTGTTAAACTTGCCGGTTTTTCCAGCCACCGGTAAGGAGCCAAGTGCAGAAATTATTCCGATTTCACTAGCCACCGGAAAGAAAGCAATCCATTCACTCCCATCTTCCTTGATCGGCGGTGGTTCAGGAGGGGGGCGATCGGCCTCTATATTGATACAGAAGATCATGATCGATAGAGAAGCCAATACACATCTCTTACTAACACCCAAGAACACCCGACCGATGATGGCGGGGAATATAAATCTAGCGAGCGACACTTCGCCACCGAAAGTAGTATCTCTAGACAACGCTAGAAAACAGACGTATACATAGAACTGAAAATATTGATCTAACGAAACTTTTTTCATTATTGGGAGCAAAAGAAAATTGAACAAAGAGAGAAGAAGGAGAGGAGGCGGCTAGGGTTTCCCCTTCACCGCTCCTTTGGTTTCCCTTACTATACATTCCGTTTTGTTGTAGGCTCTATGTTCGTAGCTTTATCCATTCCAGGTTGTTAAGGACCCGGAGTTCCATCCTAAAAGGTCAACCTGATAGGAGGAGTAACCCATGTGTTAATATAGCACTTTGTTCATCCAAATCTTTCCGGTGTGGGACATTTAACACCCCTCCTCACGACCAGACACTTCGTCTGGATCGTGTCATCATTAATTTTTTTTATCGGTCCGTTTTTTTTTCGGCCGTAATCGTCATTTTTTATAATCGTGTCATCACAATTCATAGGGACCCCACACCATGGATCGATTTGGCTCTGATACCATGTTAAGAGCCGGGGTTCCATCCTAAAACGTCAACCTGATAGGAGGAGTAACTCATGTGTTAATATAGCACTGTGTTCATCCAAATCTTTCCGGTGTGAGACATTTAACACAGGTAAAACCATTTTTCCATGTAATTCAATGGTTCATACCTTCCCCTAACCCAATTACTTCGTTTAAATTTCGCTCATATTTTGGTAGTTAAGATGCAATGGAGTATATTGAAAAATCCAATTCATTTGAAAGATCTTTTCTAATAAACTGAAAACAAGAAGATACACATTTGGATTTCCACTTTTAAATGGAAAAAGTATTTATAAACAAAAATATTCCCAACAGTTGGTGTTGCTTTAGATTTTGTGGGAGAGACCATATCATGAAAGTAAATGATTATATTTTTATATACCATCCAGTTCATGACAACAAAGAAATGAATTTATAGGTCCTATGTGCCACTATGTCAAAAAAAAATGAATTAGCTCAAACTCTTTCATTCAGCCCCTTTGTTCTGATAGTTTTTGCTGAGCTGATGGATTTGAGGGATTGTAAAACCAATTCATCTATAATTATAGTGTCTTGTAAGATATAGGTTAATGGTATAAGGAAGAAAGGTATGGTTCTGAATCAAGGTGATGTTTGTGATAAGTATGATTTTGCGGTTTTCCCGGCATTGCAAGGTGGGCCACACAACAAGCACATTGCTGCCCTTGCCGTAGCTTTGAACCAATTAGCAACTCCCAAATACAACATTTACATGCAACAAGTTAAGAAGAACCCGCAAGCCCGGGTAAATGCATTGTTGAAAAAGAATTGTAATAAGTTGGTCAGTGGCGGAACGGATAATCACCTGATAAGTTGGTATATAAGGAATCTTGGCTTAAAAGTCCAGAATTTACATGCAACAAGTTAAGAAGAACCCGCAAGCCCGGGTAAATGCATTGTTGAAAAAGAATTGTAATAAGTTGGTCAGTGGCGGAACGGATAATCACCTGATATGTTGGTATATAAGGAATCTTGGCTTAAAATTAAAGTCCAGAATTTTGAGAAGATTTGTGAGTTGTGTCATATTACTCTCAACAAAGTCATGGTCTTTGATGACAATGGAACTATTACACCTGGGGGCGTGTCTGATTAGTCTGTTTTTGAAGCAATAGCTAATATCCTATTAAAAGCTGCCCATATAGCAAGCAGTGTTCAGACAGAACACAGGAAGCTGTCCAAGGCATTCTCAAAGGGAACAGAGAGCATCAAAGACATATGGAACTTGGGGCACATGTACAATGTTTTGCATCTCAGTTTGCAATGCCTGGGTTTGAAATTTGATTTATTGCTTTCAGGGGAAATGCTTCCAAGGGTGTTGCTGGTTAAGGGGTGTATAACTATATACCGTAAGTAATAATTGTAGTTAATTGTTACGCAGTTAATTAGTTGACTAGGAAAGAATGAGGCTTCCTTTTCTGTCTGGACAAACATGTTTTGTAGAGCATTTTTTGTTGGCCTATTTATTCCAATATTACTAAAAATAGGCTACAACAACAACAACAACATCCAAGCCTTAGTCCCAAACGATATTGGGGTCGGCTAACATGAATCGATACATGATATCACCAAAAGAAAAAGAAAGAAAATAAAGATAAAAACGATAAGCTATTATAAAAAAAATATAAAAGATATGAATATACATATAAAAGATAAAATAAAAAGGATAAAGTAATATTTATATATACGGATAAAAATATAAAAGAAAAAGAAAAAAAGAAGAAAAAAAGAGGGGAAAAGATGAAACAAAATCACTCCTCCAAATGAATACCCGCCCTCCATTTTGCTCTCTCCAAAGCCATACCCTCTTGTGCAATTATGTTTGTATTTAGTCTTATTTAGGCGATTACATACTAATGAAATAATGAAAATTTACCTAGTTAATACGCTTGTTGAAGTTTATTTATCTTGGTCTAAGGGTTCAATACTTTCACTTGAGCTTCCGTTGGATTTTAATGGGTTGATTATCTTTTACTGAGCTATCTAGCTAGATGATTATGGAGACACAAATAATAACAAGAAGATGAGTAGGAGATAAAGTGGGCCAAGATATATAAATGACTTAGAACGATATGATTACACCACACCTTTACTGAGCTCAAGCCTGGACCCTCTATTCTAAGTTGGGAGAATACATAAGAAACATAGAGAGAAACTAATGACATTGAATACAAGTTGTCAACCTCTTTCAATAAAAAAAAATCTACATATTTAGTGCATTAAATGCACATCCCGCCAATTTATTTTTCTCCCCAATCATCCTAGGATAGCAAGTCAAGATCTCACAACAATTTAGCTCTTCACCCAAAGATCTATGTGCGGCCCGAGCCATGCGGGTGGTGCCCCTTGGGCCTTGGGTTTAGGCCATTCACAAGCCTTATGGACTCATTTCCCTAAAAAAAAGCTTTATGGGCTCATTTACCCGCAAGGGTATAGAGTGAGGAACGGCTACAAAATGGCTATATAGCCATTGGGGGTTGAGAGTTTGGGTGTGGGGGTCTAAACTTGATTACAAAAATATGACTCATAGTTACTAAAATGTAGTGTCATGGTAACTTAATCTTAAAAAATGAACATAAGTTGCTATGATTCTATTACTACTTTAGTCACTATTCTGTCTATTCACATTTTTGTAAACAATATTTGTTTTAATTGTAATTATTTCTATCAATAATTACTCAAAACATTTAACTCATAAAATATTTATAATAAAAGTTAAGGAACTATATATTGTTCACAACAAGCTAAGATGTAGTGTCGATTTGGATCAGGATTGTACATTCTCACCGATTGCTATGGCTCGATTTTTGGCTAAGAGTTTGGTCCGTTCTAATTGTGATTCTGTGAGCGCGTTTGTGTTTTTGTTCGTGATCTTGGCTGCTTCTTTTTCTCTGTCTCGGATAAAACAATGGCATGGGCGCGGTGCTCCTAGAACAGAACCACCTAAAATACTAACAGGTCCTGTACAACAAGATGACTCCTTTAGAGGTTGTTGGTCAAACCTCTTCTCCCTAGCTTCCCGGTGGCTTGTAAAATCTGGATGATGCCTTTAATTTGGAGGTGGATGGACAAACCTCTTCTCCCTTCTTGGTGGCTGGTAAAACCGGGACACTTGAATTATTTTGTTGTTTTTATTTAAATAATTCATGTTTAGTTATCTCACATTTTAGTAACAAGTTCAGCGATGTTGTTAGATTAGTCTACCATGATGCATGATCATCGAATTTGATGGGTAATCAGAGACTAGTCATTTCTATATCTCACCCTAGTCTTGAGCTATTTTATTGTTTTGTCTCTTGTTACTCTCATTATTATAAATAATTAAGTCTTCTAAAAAACCAGGTTCTTACGGATTCACAGGGTTTATGTCGGGCCGGGTTGCACCGTGTCCGAACGAGCAGCCAATTTTTCCGTTATTCCTGTTACTAAAAGAATACTACTCCTTCCGTTCCATAAAACTTGGCATTTTCATGTAAGGTAAGGAATAAGTGGCTAAAATTATTTCTCTCTCATCTGCACAAATTTCAACCACAAAATTTTTAAAATGTTTTTACTTGGACTGTAATTCGTCTCAGATCAGACCAGACTTGGATTAAAAATACAAAGAGACCAGACATTACCAACCAGACCAGACCAACTCAGATCAGACTAGACCAGCAAATTACAGTCCAAGTAAAAACATCATTACTTCATTAATCTATGTGTAAATCAATTTTGATCAAGTTTTAAAAGATGGAGTCAGTACTCTATTACTTCATTAATGTAAGTCAATTTTGATTAAAAGATGGAGTCAGTACTCTATTAGAAAGTATAGGAAGGATAGAATAAAATTGATTGTACCGGCGGTACCGCTATAATATGTGTCCATCTATAAACCACACGAACAATGTGACACCATAAATTTGTCCTTTTAAATGGAGAGTTATTGGCGCTCGCGAGTTATGAAATCTCATCGAGGTGGCGCTGCCTTGTCGCTGTGCATGGCCTCCACGTTTCCGTTAATATGGTCGTCACCACGTGTCTTATCTATCTCAAAACTGATCTTCCACTACTTTAAAAATCAACTCATTATTCTCCCATACTTAAAGAATCAATCGTTCCATTTTCAAACCACGCACTATTTTTACTTCAAATCTTCATTTATTTTTGGGTTTTGTTGACTTTTATACACTTCCAAAGTCTAATTTATTGAATTTACATACACTATGCGATCGGACTTGGATCCAAAGGAATCTCCTCCGCTCCCGCCGCCGCGAGAAACAACTCTCAAAGATATTGTGCAATGGAAGAAAAGACGTTTTAACATCTCAGCTATTGTTATATCAACAGCTGCATGGATTGCTCTCGAAATATATGGGCTTAACTTCGTTACGGTGTTTTCGTGGGCGGCCATGCTTGGGGTTACTTGTTTGTTCATTTGGGGCAACATTGATGGGCTTCTAAGGAAGTATGCACCATACTACAACCTTCTAAATCATTCTTGTAGAGTTGTAGTTTAATACGGAGTACTCCATATTATATAAGCTTTCAGAAATTGTTTTAAATAGGAGTAAAAACGTTTGTCGGACTTTAAATGAAAATATGATGGTTAAGTAGTAATTAGTCTTATTTAAGTAATAAAAACATGATAGTTCTAGCTCTAATTCAGTCCTAGCTCTATTTCAGATTTTCAAAACTTTATACTTCTCGGAAAATTTCCATAGCTAATCTAAAATTCAAGATAAGCATGAATTTTCTCATATTATTATATATTGACCATATATACATGTGTTGATAAGTTAATATGGATACATGAATGGATTTCAGACAATCAACAGACATGCCTAGGTTTCACATTAGCAGAGAATCAGCGGTGGAGACGGCCAACTTATTCTGCCATCGGGTCGAACAATGTGTTGATTCTGTGTTGAGTTTTGGTGCGGAGAGCTCGTGGCACGTTGTTGCCGGAGCTTTGGCTTCTTTGGCTTTGCTCTCACGAATTGCCACTCACCTCCCTTTTGTTTCTTTTCTCTACCTAGGTACAACCTACCTATATGTTACTCCCATCACTACAAAAAAAACACGGGATTGGCACGGAATTTGGCATGGAATTACCGATTTTTCGTGCCAAATAGCTCGTGCCAAAATCTTTGCCAAAATCTTTGGAAAAATCTCTGTCAATCCAGTGTTTTTTTGGTAGTGCATGTGGTGTTTTAAAGGACGCTAAGTTTTTTTACACTTTCTTTTAAAGGATTCAAATACTATTAGATTTTTGTTAAAAATACACTGATTTTCTGTTAAAAATACACGCGTGTTCAAGTTTGATCAGGTTTGATCAGGTCTATTTAAGTCAGTTTTGTGTAAATAGTATCTAACGTTTGAATTGAGACAGGTGTGTTGGGTGGTCTTACCATACCAATTACGTATAGCAAGTATGAACACAAAATTAAGGAGTCCGAGCAACGAGTTAGGATGCACTACCGAAGGTGTTACAGCATGGTTTGGCAAAAAGTCAACGATCTGAAGAATTTGATTTCAAGTAAGACAGAGTATTGGCAAAAGAAGGTGTATCAACATAAGAAAGTAGAATAGTGGGTAGATCGAGTAATATACTCTTCTTAGTTTGCACTTGTATACTTGTACTACTAGGAGTATGTATAAATAACAAGAGGAATGAAATAAAACGGGTGGGTTGTATCCCAAAACAAGGACCATTTCATTCATGCCTTTTAAATAAATTGTTTTTCAATTCCCATATTTGCCACATCACATTGACTCGATAAATTTTACTTTATATATAATCTCAAATTTCTTCCAAACTCATCATTAACAATGATGTGTTTTGATTTACGTACTTCAAATTAAATTTTGACTTCTTCAAACTAAATTTTGAGTTCTTCAAATAGAATCAATTTCAAACATCATCATAATACTCAAAATTTATCATAATACTAGATAATGATTGCAATCTAAACTAATTCTTCTCTCATAATGATAATTTTAAAAATAAGTTTACATATCATCCAATTAATCTTGAATGGAGCATTGCACAACGGTTTAAATGATAAGTTTACATATCATTGACGTGTGTATAAGTATATAATGTGTGTAGAGTTATCATAAAGGGATCTGTGGCGCAATGGTAGCGCGTCTGACTCCAGATCAGAAGGTTGCGTGTTCGATTCACGTCAGGTTCACTCCTTTTCCTTTTGGGCTGAAATGTTTTTTGCGTCTTCTTGTTGCATCAAATCAAATAATTTAACAATATATTCAGAGTGTATGCAAATATTCTGGGGACGGTGGAGTATATGGGATAGCGGGAGTTCTTTTTTATGCGAGTGCGGATTCCCCTTTATAAATTATTCCGTTCCGCTATGATTGTCCCACCTTACATTTTTTATCTGTTCCACTAAGATTGTCTCATACCTTATTTGGTAAAATTTGTGTGGTTCTAAATCATTCTTACTTTTTTCATACTTTATCATTTCAATATCAACCACATAAACTCACTTTTATTAATAACCGTGTCACCTTCTCTGGTCCCAAACATGGGGGACGGAGGTAGTAACTTGTTCCCTGTAACAATAATAAATTGATGAATTATTTATTTTGGTCATAAATAAGATTTTCTACATGGAGGTTCAACTCTAGAAATAAAGTTATATTTTCATATTTGAAAAGGGTAATAGTAATATAGAGACTGTTTTTTCGAGTATAATATGCTAGCGGTTAAACTTAGAAATGCAATATGGGTCTAACTAATGAAATAGTTTCGGCACAATTAAAGTAGAAAACTTGCAAATCAAATTATATTACCTTCGTGTTGATATGATGTTTATTTCCATTTTGGATTGTATTTGAATGTTTGTTACACTTTCTATTTTTATATGTTTTCGTTTACAAAAACTCAATTACTTTTGCATTTCTTTCCCATTTCTTCTTTTTTAAACCTTTTCACTCTTTCTCATATTTCCTCCGTCCCTTACAAAACTTCCAATTGCGGGTTACTAAGTTTGACCAGTGATAAAGTTAAATAATCCTTGTCAAAATTCAGATTATTTTAGTAAATAAAATTTACGTATTCAGAAACTACATTTACAAAGTCTGCAAAGAAAATTCGTTTTTTATAAAATTTTGATACATAAAGTAAAAGTTTAAGTGTGATTTAAATTGACCCTCAAAAAGAAAAATGAAAGCTTATTTAGGAATGGAGGGAGTACTTTTTTCTACATTGTTAATTACCCTTCAAACACTCAATTACCTTTGCATTTATTTCCTTTTTCTTTCTTTTTATACTTGTTCACTCTTTCTCATACATTTTTCTACATTGTTCATTACCCTTACCGTTTTCCCTTAAATATTTTGGATAGTATCAATACGGAAGGAGTAATTGATATTATTGTTGAAGGAATTACTTTAATGTGCATTCGTTATAGATAGAGAGTGTAGAATGTATCTAAGGTTTATATGTATTGAGCTAATTGACCCATTGGCTCATTCCTTGTAAAAATCCCTCCTATTTAAAGGGAACTTACTAATGTAATGAAAAGACACCTTTCACTTCCCTACAAAGAAAGTAGATTGAATGTGGATTGCTCTATCCACTACCTAGCAAATTGAAGCTGGGCAAAAGACACCTTTCACTTCCCTACTAAGTCTCAGTTCTCCACTACTGCACAAATTTCGTATGAGCAGCTTATCAACTTCAAGATGACTCACCCAACTGCACCCGAGTTTGACATTCTGAACTCAGAATGACTTGAGTACCATAGGTGGATTTCCGATATAGAAACCACTTTTGTGGCTAAAGACTACTCTGCCACACTCATTGACTCTGAGAATTTGAAAGATGAAGCACCATATGAAAAGATAAAGGCAAGCACTTTAATGTTTCTTAAGCGTCATATTGACCCATGCCTACGCTGGGAATATCTTCAGTTGAAAATCCCCAAAGAACTGTGATGAGATTCCCTTAAGGGACGATTTGGGAACATTCATGATACGTTGCTCCCAGAGCTCACGGTGCACTGGAATGAAATCCGTCTCGTTGACTATAAGAAAGTTAACGATTTCAACAAAGATATGTTACGCCTGAGAGCACGTCTCAACTTGTGTGGAAAAGTAATACAGAAGGTGAAATGATTGAGAAAACACTTTCCACATTCTCTACCTCGGCACGTACACCAACGAACCAGTATTAGTTGGAGTATGACAATAAAAGGCTTACCACTTATAATCAGTTGATTAATCCCCTCCAAGTGATTGAGAGACACATTGAGGTTCTCTTTGATGGAGTATATGGCCCAGGAACCCCCGGCCCACAGACTCCTACTTCTCCTACACAGGCCCATTGAGCCCAAGGAGCATTCGAGGCCCAAATACAGCGGCCCAACTCTCAAAGAAACCCAAAATGCACACTGGGGTGCCTTCGGCCTCCTTGGCCGAGGGCTCCGAATTACACAGGGAAGCCAGATTCGAGCATACAAAGCTACTGGGAAAAAACAGGGGCCTTCGGCACTTTGATGCCTTCGGCATCAGGGAAGCCTTCGGCTGTACGACGCCTTCGGCTACACAGGCCCTCGGCTGCAGGGGGAGCCCTCGGCCAACAACTCAATCATCGAAAGATTCCCTTTGGAGACAAGCAACCACCGCATTTAATGCAACGTCACATCCACCCACTGCATTCAATGCGGTGCACATGCAATTGCCAGTGCCACCCGATTGAGGTGACCCCTCGGCCGTTAGATTATCGCCATGTATACTCTCATCGCATTTATTACATCTCGAGTTCATAAATATAATCGCCTCTCTCTCCTACTTGTTTGCTCTGACTTCTCTCTAAGTTATTCCCGCAATAACCCCTCGGATAAGCTACCCCGGGTATACTGTCTATCACTCTTGAACAACAATGCCAGGCCAGTGGGGACAAAGAGAATTCCCGAATCTAACTATGGCGAAATTGCAAGTGGAAAGAACCCCAACGCAAAGAGCGAGGGGTGTGCTAACCAGTATTCATGTGGGCAAATATTCAAAACGAGGGAGTGGCAATAAGGGTCGTGGAGGTCTCGGGGGCCATGGTCCGGGTCGTGGAGGACCTTCCAATGTATGAAGAAGAGATGAGGGTGCAGAATCAAATGTCTGCAAGGCATCCGGAAAGTCTTCAGTCAAACGAGAAAAAAATGATGGAGACCTTGCTATAGATCTGGAGTTGCAGGTTATTGGTATAAGAATTGCCAAGCAAATATAAAATTGCAGCCACTTACAAAAAGTATCAGGAGCTAAAGAATAAGAATCTCACTTTGTGAATGACGAAGACAATGAGGTTGACGTTAACCTCACAGTTGCTGATTTTGGCGGCAAGAAGGACACTGTCCAATCAGTCGATGCACCCGACTTTGGTTGATTGAATTTAATTTCTTTATCTACTCATGAACAGTTCAACACTTTTACTATTTGTGTGTGATTTTATATTTCTTTTATGCCGGACACTACATGATTATGGGTTTTCCCTTAATAATTGGATCCAAAATCCAAACAATATTTAAATTTTGGGTTCAGATTTATATTCTATGTGCTCATTATATAGGAATAACTCGAGGAGAATTTGAGTGTTTAGTAGGATCACACACACTATCCTACGAAATAGGCAATTTTCTGTTAAATTAATAGCCTATACGTAATTCTTCTGTGACTACAATGATTGGATCATCAGACGTAATAAGAGGGCGAGGCACTGCTCAATTTATGTTGTCTAATGGCGCAAGATTCATCGTCACAGACGCTCCATATGCACATAAAGCTACCTGAACCTTATTAAATTTTAAAGATATTCGTGATAATGGATTTCATGTGGAAACTCACTGTGAGAATTGTGCAGAGTGTCTATACATTACCTCTAATGAATGCGGAAGAAAGCGCATACTAGAGAAATTAATAAGTTAGTCTATTGGACTTTATGTCACCACTATTCGGATCTTTGAATCCTATGTTGTCGGCACCAACGATAAAATTTGGGACACAGACTCATACAGGCTTTGGCACGATCGTCTTGGACACCCTGATCGTGACCTGATGATTCATATATTAAAAAATTCACATGGACATCCTTTCTTTTGAGGAAGGAATAAAAATGGGAAAAAGTCAAACACATTGAAAGGTGTTAGCCCTACAGTTATTCAAAACGAAAAAGCATCTTCTGAAGTACAAGAAGAATTAGCTCATGCGTCTTTAACAATGTCCAAATCACAAATTGCATTTTGTAAAGCATGTTCTTTAGCAAAAATAGGATCGAGACCAAGCTATGCTAAAGATACAAACGAAAATATTCCCATTCTTACAAAGAATACAAGGAGATATATGTGGACCTATCCATCCAGAATGCGGACCATTTAGATACTTTATGGTTTTGGTGGATGCATCGACCCGTTGGTCACACGTTGCTATACTGTCCACAAGGAACGCTGCATCCGCAAAGCTCCTAGCACAGATAATCCATTTAAGGGCTCACCACCCTGATAATCCTATTAAGTGCATAAGACTTGATAATGCTGGAGAGTTTACGTCAAAGACTTTTGATGATTATTGCATGTCTATAGGGATCGATGTAGAGCATCATGTTCCCCATGTACATACACAAAATGGTCTCGCGCAAGCCACTATCAAAAGATTACAAATGATAGCTAGGGCATTGGT